CTTTGCCCCAAACTGCCTAAAGTTTCACATCCCTGTCTTACACTATTTCCCATTGAAGTAAGGTTGCCATATTTCAAAAAGTGAAATATGTTGAGTTTTTAAAAAAGTTTTGCCCAAAGTATTGGTTTTTTTTAAGGAAAATTGGCAAAAATGACACTGCCGACACGGCTTGCCATACACCCAGATATTCCTGGACATTTTGCCGATTTCCACCCAGACTGCTTCCGACTACAGCATTCCGGTTACATCCAGGAAATTCCAGATATATGGCAACCCCACATTCAAGGCCAGGGGGGGAGTGAAGCTAGCTTGTCACAGAAACACATCCCATGGCTCTGGGGGCCATTATGACAAGGCCCTGCTCCTAGTAGATGTATTATTGTCCTGATGTCAACCCACTTGGGAGAATTTGGTTTCGAAAGGCCTCATGGAAATAACATAAAAATAGATGGCAATCTTCTGTAGTGAGAGGATAGAATCAGGAGCAGGGCTTCTCCGGGTAAAGGAATCTCATTCTGTCTCCTCACTTCCTCAGGATGGTTGGGCAGGGCCCACTAAAGTCCCATTAGCAGCTATTTACATCTCCCCTGGAGATGTTAGCACCTCATTAACACTTCATTTTTCCCTATTGAAGCCTTGATTGGTTTGGCTAGAGAAAAAGGAGGGAGAGGGGGAGCTGTGTGATGAATACATGGTTCGATCAGGACATTGAACAGGCTTTAGCCAGCATAGTGTGGCATGCTTTTTAACTGTGGGCAGGTGGAACTAGTGGATGGCATTAGCTGAAGGAGACCTAGTTCATAGACACCCAGAAGGCTATAACATTCAGTGGTGTGCAGGGGGTAATCTAGGATAGTATCCAACCTCCTTCAACCTGAATATATTACTGAAACAGTCTTGTGGAGACAGGGGAAGAAATTCAATACAGTTCTCATTTAAAGGTGAACTTACCTCATTGGGCCATAAAGAAGGCTGATCACCAAAGAATTGATGCTTTTGAATTATGGTGCTGGAGGAGACTCTTGAGAGCCCCATGGACTGCAAGAAGATCAAACATATCCATTCTTAAGGAAATCAGCCCTGAGTGCTCACTGGAAGGAAAGATGCTGAAGCTGAGGCTCCAATACTTTGGCCACCTCATGAGAAGAGAAGACTCCCTGGAAAAGACCCTGATGCTGGGAAAGATGGAGGGCACAAGGAGAAGGGGACGACAGAGGACAAGATGGTTGGACAGTGTTCTCTCAGCTACAAACATGAGTCTGACCAAACTGCGGGAGGCAGTGGAAGACAGGAGTGCCTGGCGTGCTCTGGTCCATGGGGTCATGAAGAGTCGGACACGACTAAACGACTAAACAACAACAACAAAACACCTCATTTGTGTTTTCTGAAACAATATGAAAAATGAAACACAGCTGCCCTTCAAAACTAACTCTTCTCTGAATTTTGCATTGCAGTTTTCCAAACAATGTTTAAACAGTTAATGTCTATCCCACTTTTACTCCAAGGAGCTCAAGATGGCATGCATAGCTTGCAAAAACCCCGGCATTGCTTAGAGCCAGTGACTGCCCAAAGTCAAGCAAGTGAGTGTTGTGGTTGAGAAGGGATTAAAATTCTGGTCTCCCGGGTTTTAGTCTGACACACAAACCACTATACCACACTGGCTCTCTTTTTTATTAAGATGAACTAGCACTAAAATGCTGATGAGTGTTCACGAGGACTTAAATATATATATATTGCAAACGGATGTGGGAATGTGGAGAACTGGAATTAAGATTGGAGAAAGGAGAAAGTGAGAGAAATCAACATTGTCAGATTCACCCACCCTTACAGCGTAGTCACGCAAACACACAAACACACACATAGAGAGAGTACTAGACTTTAAAGGAAATCAGACTTCCATTATAATTGCCTCATTACCATCCACAGAATGCAGACCCCAGCCTCTTCCATAGAAGAGGGGGTTTTGGGGGTTGCATAAACCAATTAGGCTTCCATTTTCCAGCCTCCTGCCAATCGACCAAGATTGAGTCTCTTTTGCCTTTAATTTTCTTTCCAAATTGCATTATCTTAGCACACAAACTTGTCATTGTTTTCCCCCCCTCCTCTTTCCCTTTCAGGGCAGAAGCATACCTAATCTTATTACTGCCAGTACACTCAGAGCAGCCAATCTTATTAATAGCTACCCTTCGGGGATTCTGTAGTTGTGGATCACTTTCCTGATTGGAAGATGAGCTACGCAATATATAAATAGCACCATATCTCTAGTCTGACTTCTTTGGCCTTTATGAGCTGTGAATAACCTCTCTTGTGAGTGTTAAAAAGGACTCCAGCCCACAGAGCTTTCCAGCAAATCTGCTATATTTCCATCTCAATTTGGGCACCTGTAGGCTTTGGTTTTTGAGTTCATTAGCAGGTGTTTGATAGGTCCGAGGCACAATTGCTTGCAATTGTTCCTATTTAAGAACATAAGAAGAGCCCTGCTGGATCAGGCCAAAGGACCATCTAATCCAGTATCCTGTTCTCCCCTCAGCCAACCAGATGCCTTAATGGGAAACCCACAAGCAGGTTCTGAGTACAATAGCACCCCCCTGTAATTCCCAGCAATGAGGGTATGCTGCTTCCAACAGTGGAGAATAGTCATTGTTGTTAGCAACCATTGATAACCCTATCCTCTTTGAATTGGTCTAATCCTCTCCAAAAGCCATCCAAGCTGGTGGCCATTGCTACATCTTCTGCAAGCAAATCCCATATGCTCGGTGTGCAGCTTCCACCATTCACCATATTTGGATTGTCCCATATATTATGAGATGGCGCTGGTCTGTGACCGTATTAATAAATTCATTCATTCATTCATATATTATGAGATGTGCTTTCTCCACACCATATTTAATTCTATAAACCTCTATCATGCTATCACCTCTTGCTCATCTTTTCTACCCTGAAACCGATCCCTCATTTCTAAACCAATCCCTTTGCTATATGTTGAAGAACATCTGTCATTTTCTACTGTTTTTGGACTCTCCTTGATGTTCCTTTACATTCCCCCCCTCTCTTTCGACTGACTTCACTTGCTCTCAGTGATGCCCTGCTGTAATCCATTCAGACTGGCTGAACATCACTGTGACTGTGCATGGTCCCTGATTCAGTGGGACCGTCCCATGTGACTAATCCTGGAAGCACTCAGTTCCCATCACCAATATCATCAAGTCCTACCCAGATACACCAATTCAAATGAATGGACATGACTTAATAGCTCTAAAATTCTATGGTTCCAGGACTTAGGTAGGTTCATCCTCTTTCATGGGTTTGCTCTGTGTAGAAAGGAGTTGCATATAACCCCATACTTATTTATCTAACAAAAATTCACATACAGCTAAACAGTAAATAAAATCTCTAAACAGTTTACAAAGAATATAAAATATGCCTTAAAATCAGGGCTTTCTTCAGCCAGAACTCACTGAAACTCAGTTCCAGCACCTCTCAGGTGGGCACCATTACTATTATAAGAGAACAATGCATTTTCGTTGTCCTGTTTTCAGCTTCCACACAATGGGTTTATAGTTAAAAAGAATATTCTCCTCTGTAAGTTTCACCGTATTGGCCCTGATATAAGTCACACCCGCAAAAAGTGTGGCTTATATTCAGGCCCATATGGTAACTTTTCCCATACAGTCCATTTCTACAGTCTACATTTCTACATTTCTACAGTCCAGCACTTTCCCCCAAGAGTTTGCTCAACTTCCAGCCCTTTACTGAATTTAGAGATTATGGACAGTCTGTCCCTCCCGTAAACTCATAACAGTACACATTCTAAGCCAGTTACAGATTAAAATGCACATCAACCCTACATTTCTGCATAATCTTGCTTAAACAAAAAAGTTTATAGTGGGCATCATAATGAAGGGAAGGGGTCCATCCTCGTGTCAATTAGCAGGGAGTTCCAGAGCATAAGAGTTCCCACGCTAAAAGCTGAGTTTTTCACAATTGTGGCAATTGCAGAACTTCCAGTTCTGAAAATCAAACTGGTAGAAATAAGTGAGAGGTTGAAGGAAATGGGGCTGGGAAACGGTGCTGCATGGGGGGGGGGGTGTTGATGCGAAATGTGATTAAAAGGGTGTCTATTTGCACAGTCTCACTGATTTTCTCGAAATAATCCCACTTCACAATTTTCTACCTGAAAATGAAAGTCTAAATATTGATTCCATCCCTAGAATTTGTTTCTCACCTTTTTCAGCACAGCTAAGCACCAGAGGTGGGTTTTCATTAGCTTAAGGCTTCCAGCTCACAGAAAGACCTCCTCTCACAGAAAAAGGGGGAGAGGGCCTTTGTTGTTAAGTTGTATATCATTTTCCAAAGCAGCGAGAAAGAGAAGGCTTAAGAGAAGCAAGTTATACTGACTCTGTCAGCGACTGCAAAAAATATCCCGCTAAGAAGTATATTAGCTCCAAGGCTTCTTAATCAACTTTTGCTTCATCATTAAATAATTACGCTTGGTCTGTCTGAAATATAGTCATGTCACTTCTCATATCCAAGACATCTTACAAATATGAGTCATTACTGGAGCTGTGGGAGTCATCGCTAATTAAGCTTGATGCTGGCAAACCTCATCCCATTTGGGGTTATGATGTCAAACGTTCAACAGATTATGCCCAGAGTTTCCAAAAGGCCTGAATTAAATTAAGAGGGTTAGCAAGACCTTCGTTCCCCCCCAGACCAAAGTGCTGCTTCAGCATCTTGCAGGCTATCAATGGCTACTCGCCACAATGGCTATGATATCTCTCTACTGTTTGTCAGTTGTTAAGAATCACAAATGGGTGGTCAGAGCTTGTTCGGATGCAGGTTAGCACAGAAGATGGGGACTGCTGGGAGACCAGGGTTCAAATCTCCACTCAGCCATGAAACTCCCTGGGGGAACTTGAGCTAGGCACTATTGCTCAGGCTGACCTACCTCACAGGGTGGTTGTGAGGATAAGATCACTGTGATGTGCTCCTTACCAAAGCTACGACGAGTGCTCACGACTGCTGGACAGATCACCGATTAATATGTTCCACGATGGCTATCAAGATTATACCTCAATGCAGGCTTCAAGGAAGGAAACCAAGGCACAAAATGAACACCTTCAAGATCCCATTAAGCGGAATTGCTTCCAAACAACTCTTAAGGATCAGCTGCTTTTGGAGTTCCCTGATGACATTGAGGAACACTGAACCAAGCTAAAAACATCCATTATTGCAGCCTGTGAACTAACTATTGGATACCAAACCGAGAAACACCAGGACTTGTTTGTGGAGAATGACAGTGAGATTGAATGCATTATCGACAAGAAAAGGAAGGCCTTTCAGATCTGGCAAAGGGATAGAAACTGCGCTACTAAGAAGAAAACCCTATGCCAACACTAAGGCTAAGGTTCAAAGAAGAACCAGAGAACTAAAGACACCTGATGGATAAAAAAAGCTCAAGAGATCCAGCACTTAGCCAACACTCATGATGTACAGAGTTTCTTTAAAGCCACAAAGACCATCTATGGGTCAGTAAATCATGGCATATGCCCCCTACTCTCAACAGACGGTACCATACTTCTTAAAGATAAAGAAGCTATTGCACTGCGTTGGAAAGAACATTACCAGCATCTCCTTAACCGCAACTCCCCCTTAGCTGCTGAGGCCCTCTCACAAATTCCACAATAATAAATTAGAGATGAGTCTGCAGTATCTCCAAATCTGCGAGAGTTGTGTACAGCTATTAACCAAATGAAAAACAACAAAGTCAGCGGATCTGCCAAAATCTTCAAAGTGGGTGGAACTGAACTTACACAACAACTTCACAAGCTCATCGAAAAAATCTGGAAGAAAAAACTGGGAAAGAGAAGAAATCCCAGCAGACTTTAGGGTTGCCAAAATTATCAATCTCTTCGAAAAACGTGATAGAACAGAATGGATTGCATCAAGGCATCTCTTTATTAGCTGCGACCAGCAAAATTCTTGCAAGGATCTTAGCAAACTGTCTCCTGACAATATCCGAGGCTACCCTTCCTGAATCCTAAAATGGTTTTCAACCTTCTAGGGGGACAGTGGACATGATTTTCACTGCTCGACAGCTTCAAGAAAAATGCAGAGAGCAAAACCAACCGCTGCATATGGCATTTATTGACCTGACTAAGGCCTTCAACACTGTAAATCGTAATGCCCTGTGGACTGTCCTAAAAATTGGCTGCCCAGATAAATTTGTGAACATCCTTTGGCTCCTCCATGATAATATGACAGCAACAATCACAAATAACAATGGATCTCAAAGTGAACCATTCACAGTGGGATTGGGTTAAACAGGGTTGTGTTATCACCCCAACTTTATTATTTTCATTGCCATGATCCTATACTTTGTCAAAGGGAAACTCCCCACCGGAGTAGAAATCATATATCAAACAGATGGAAAGCTCTTTAATCTGAGTAGGCTAAAATCAAAGAGTAAGGTTACCATAAGTTCCGTCATAGAGCTTTAGTATGTTGATGGCAACGTAGTGTGTGCACACTAAGAGGACGACCTCCAAACCACCCCAAATATCTTCACAGAAGCTTACAAAAAGCTTGGCGTATCACTCAACATCCAAAAAAACTGAAGTGTGGCACCAACAATCACAAAACAACCCCTCTGCAGCACAACAAATTCAACTCAATTGTGTAACTTTGGAAAGTGTCAATCACTTCTCCTAGCTGGGCAGTTATCTTTCCACAAGGGCCAACATTGATACCAAAATCCAGCATCACCTGAGGTCTGCGAGTGCAGCTTTCTCCCGATTGAAGTGCAGTGTTTGAGGACGAGGACATTTGCAGGAAAACCAAAATGCTTGCCTACAAAGCTATTGTACTACCAACCTTACTTATGCTTGTGAAACATGGACCACTTATAAACACCATCTTCAACTCCTTGAAATATTCCATCAATGGTGTCTCTGAAAAAATTTACACATCACTTGGGAAGACAGGTGAACTAATGCCTATGTACTGGAAGAAGCAAAGATTACCAGTGTCAAAGAAATGATTCTTCAACATCAACTTTGTTGGACTGGTCATGTTGTTTGGATACCTGATTATTGTCTTCCAAAACAAGTACTCTATTCTGAACTTAAAAATGGAAAGTATAGTGCTGGTAGTGAACAAGAGGTTTAAAGACTCTCTCAAGACAAATCTTTTAAAAAGTAGTATAAACACTGACAATTGAGAAACACTGGCCTGTGAGCACTCAAATTGGAGAACAGCCTTTACCAAAGTTGTCATGGGCTTTGAAGATGCTCGAACTCAGGATGAAAAGGAGAAACATGCCAAGATGAAGGCACGTTTTGCAAACCCTCACCATGATCAACTCCCACCCAGAAACCTATATCTCCACTGTGAATTGGCCTCCACATTCACTTACAGACTCACTGTTAAAACCGTGTTCATGAAAGACAATCTTACTCGGCTATGAGTGATCGCCAAAGAAGAAGAATATAGAAAGGTAGAAGAACCATTTATGTTACCATGAGCTCCTTGGAGGAAAGAAGGAGAGGTAGAAATGTAAAAATAAAATAAAATTAAAAAGTTATACAAATAATCAGGATAGCACAGTTGATTAGAGCAGTGGTTCCCAGTTAGGGGTCTGGGGACCCCTGGAGGTCTGTAGAACACACCCAGGGGGTCCACGGCCTCATCCATTGCGTCCCCCTCAACTAAATCGTTGTCATTTCTGTATGGTAATATCACAAATTTTATAGTCTTGTTTTAGTGCTGTGCAATTTTTCAATATATTGGCCAACATTGGTTTTGAAATTACACTGCTATAATTATTTTGACCTGGCAATACACAGCACTATATTGCTCCTCACGTGTGGGAGAACAGGGCAGCAGATTTCAAGGCACCGCCAATATCTCAAGATGATATCAGCCAATAACTCTGCTGGTCTGGGCTGCCTTCCCTCAGTGGTGGAGGAAGCCTCTCAGGTGCCTGGGGCAGCATCCCCAGGTGTGGGGCAAGTGTCCCATAGGGGCAGAGCGAGGGCAGGGTGAGCCACCCATAGGGACTGCGGGGCCTCTAGAGTTTGCCTGCCTCCTTACACACAGCCGCCCAACTGCTGGGGGGGGGGCAGCAGGCAGACCGTTTGGGCAACACAGAGCCTGCGCATGCCCAAGCCGCTGTGTCTCTCCCAGGAGAGACGCGTGGCTTGGGCATGCTGCAGACCCCACGGTAAGTGCCGCCCGGCATTTTGTCACCCCCCTCAGTGGTGACACCCGGGGCGACCCGCACCGACTGCACCCCCTTCCTCCATAGCTGTCAACTTTTCCCTTTTCTTGCAAGGAATCCTATTCGGAATAAGGGAATTTCCCTTTAAAAAAGGGAACAGTTGACAGCTATGCCTTCCTCCGCCCCTGCCTTCCCTGGAGCTGAGGGAAAACAGGGCAGCCAATCGTGAGGCGCTGCCTTCCCCTCACACTGACAGAGAACAGGGCAGCTGGTCAACCTCACTTCAAGGCACCTTTCGCTGGCGCTGAGGCAGAGCAGCTTTTCTCAGTCAGCAGGAAAGCAGCAGCGGCCACAGTGGGCATACATCTTTGCTGGCTGCCACTGCTGCCTGCCCCGCTGATGGCGGTTTGAGGCACCTCCCCCATACCCTCCCACTTGAACCACACGGTGGAGGTGACCCCGCTTCCTCTTCTCCCTCCACCCATCCGGTCTCCGTGGCTGCTCCTTCCCTCATCCCCACGCCTGATCTCCAATTTCAAACATTGGAATATCACGATGTTTAGCTGCTGATATATCACAATGTTGAAAACCAGACATCGCCCTGCCCAGTCTGTTTTTAGCATACCTAAAATCCTTTGCTTATTAGGAGCTAGCCCACATTTTGTTCCAAAAATTGCATTGCAGAGGTAACTACCATAGAGTTCTCAAAATTTTCAAAAGTAGGGGGTCTGTAGCTTGGCTTTTGAAAAATAGGGGGTCCTCAGTAATTAGCTAATTGGGAACCACCAGATTAGAGCATGGTGCTCATAACACCAAGGTTGTAGGTTTGATCCCCATATGGGGCAGCTGCATATTCCTGCATTGCAGGGGGTTGATCTAGATAATCCTCAGGGTCCCTTCCAACTCTATGATTCTATGAAATAGCATGGGAATACTTTGCTTTAGCAGAAGAACCAATGGGTAGACCTTCAGACCACTGCTTGGCCCATGTGCTGACCTCAACAATTATTTTTTTGAGGCTGGGTTTTTTATGGTCCTGAAAACGTGTCTGGGAGCACATTGCTAACAGCAGTGAAGGATAGGATTGTTATCTCCCCTCTCCCCCCCTCAACCAACCCCCCCCCTCCAAGCTTACAAACAAGTATTGGAAAGTCTACAGGAAGCAGCTCATTATGTATTTTTTTAATGGCCGCAAAACAAATCTCTGAACTTTGGGCTTTTTCTTCCTTTCTTTCAAAAAAGGACTTTCCATTTCCCTCTACAATGGACAGTTTTATCACTTTTTCGAGCCTGTGAGCTATTAAGGGATCTCCAGCAGATAAAAACAAAGCATGACAACTACTTTTAAAATTCTGTTTTAAATCCTTCTTGAAGAACAACCAGCGCCTTGCTGGCATTTATCTTGTTATCTCCCGCAACCACCCCCTTCCCTGCTGCCCCCCTTTTTTCCTTATTTTTAGGCACCCTTGATGTGAAATCAGACTGCTTTTCATCTCCCCCCTCGTTAATCGCTTGAAAGATGGCACCCATTATTCTCTCTTGCTTTTTATTTCACACCCAACCCTTCCTAACCTTCCCTCTCTGGCTACCTTGCACTCGATTCCATCTCTGAATTGGCAAACTGACCACACCACCTCATGTGCTGAAAGGGCAGGTTGCAAAATGAGAGCGGCACTATGACTACCCTTGGCTTTCATGGCTACTGCACCGCCAATGACTCCATTCGCCTCTAATTGCAGGCCCACTGAAATCACGCAGGGAACTGGAAAGCCAAGTCATTAGCCCTTCTAACCGAACATGCCGCTGAGAAAAGGATGGATGTTTTGACAGCAAGACGCTCTGCATGCTGCCAGAGTTGGCATTGTTCAGCTGCCTATTTCTCAGCAATAATTGCCATGCAAAACTATCCCCAGGTTGTCCTAACCATGCAGAAGTGTTGCTTTGCTTTCTAAACCTTGCGTAAGGCAAGGCAGGTGTTTGCATAAAATAG